GAAGATGGGGTGGTAAGAGAAAGCAAAGCTACTCAACTATAATTTTGAGAAATTATTTTATTTTTCATAATGTAATCAGTTGCTAGATGAAGCTAACACCAGCCCATAATATAAATGTTGCAACGAAGCAATACCGTAATACTTCCATTTCTGTAACTAATTACTCAAAGCGTCATTAATTTACGTGTCCAACATTACCAGAAGTATCCGTAAACACACGGTATAGCCGTTCAGCGGTCGTTTCGTAGCCGTTAATCTGTAGGGTTATAGGGAATGGCATTTATTTCTTTCGTTTGACTAAAGCAGTTACGTGCGTATAACATTGGATCCAACCTAAATCTGTATGTTAAATTAATTGGTCGTCGATTTTCATTTTCAGGATTATGCAGGGTCAATCATGTTTATTCATACCGGAACAAGGGCAAATGTTGTTTTTATGATTTAAACTGCTATGACCTTCATTATAGTGGATCTCTTCATCCATTTCATTATATATTTTGCAAGTGAAAGCCTTAACGACAACAAATGCCCTACTTGTGAATAAAGTTATTGCAAGGAAACGAAATTCTTCGACATTTGATTAACAATGTAAATTCCCGTTTTATCGAAAATTGTGTCATTGATTTTATTTAGTGAAACGATCGATAGTTATATAAGCAGTCATAGTTTCGTTAGCAAACATCATCTTTCAGTAATATTAGTCGGGTCTTTTATTTCAGTATTTGCTCTTATTCCTCGCCTTTAGAATAGTTCTTTATATTCTAATAAATTCGTGTGAAAATATACATTCATTCCCTGGCGAAGGTTTACATCGCTGGTAAAAGTGCAAAAACGCCTTTCCGTATCAGCGGTGAATGAGATCAAACTTGCCATCGATTTCATTTGACGTCACGTTTACTATTTAATTCTTTGTAAACGCGTTTCGTGTGGTAAGAATTCCCCGATGAAATTAACCCCATAAAAGAAATCGACGTATTAACTCGAGTTAAATAATATGGCGTGTACAAGAACGATTTAACATCGTGAATATATGCTAAGGTTACTAACTGTATTTAACATTAGTAGATATAGCCAAAAGTCTCGCTCGAAGAGCTAAAGCTCAAGGTCATTATACGTACGCTTTGTTTAATTGAGCGAAATGCAATTAGTTCAGAAAATTCTAATTTGATATCATCTTGCTGCCTGAACAATTGCCTAAGCAGCTTCTTCAACGGACACTTGTTTCTTCACCTCCTTTTCTTCTCTAAAATAGTATGTACAGTATCTTTTCTGTAACGCTATTAACAAAGACTGCTTCTTCTTCACCACCAACTATTCAACACTTATAGAATCTGTGAAAGAGAGTTTATCAATTAAAGATTGGATTGAATTACATTCTTCAAATGCAGTCTGCTCTTTGCATCTTCTTCCGTAACAGTATCTCTTCTATCCAGTTGTCTTCTAACAGTTTATTATAGTTTTTTTTTTATATTAGACTAAATGATGCTTAATAGCATCATTTAGTATCTATTTGCTGTATGTGATGGCGAAATAATTTTAGATAATAATCTCAAGGTTCAGGAAAACAATCCAGACATTGATACCCTTATTAAAACAGTGTGGAGAGTTCCAAATACAAAGGCGATCTTCGTCTCATCAAATTATCTTAAGGTGGGCGTGAGTAATAATGTCCGCCTCTACGAATAAATACTGGCAGATAAGGCAGAAAGTGCTCGGATCGCCTCTTGGTGCCGGGGCCAAATGAAAGAATTGCTAAAAAACAAGAAAGCGAAATATTAAGAAATAGCTTACTGATGTTTTATATCATACCCAAGCTACGATAGCTAATTAATGTTGGTAATCAGATTTGTGATATGATGACAACGCATATGAAGCTGTGTAGTGTCGTTACTTTCCTTTCTGTACACCCAGGTGTATTGTGAAATTTGCAAGGAAAGACAAGTCGAAGGTAGCCATCAAAAGTCCGTAAACTTTGTTGGAGTATTAAATTCACGTGTTCGCGAACTATACATATTACTGGTATTAATATCGATATAATTAATATTAATTCCACCAATCATGACTTGTCATACATATTGTAAATAATAATAATAAAAAATACAGCAACAACGAAAACAGCTTCCTATACAAACACAACCTACAAAATTAGATGCCGCCAAACCCACAAACACCTCCTAGCGAACTGCTATCTATCACAAAAAAGTTCTTCTATATTGGACTATTCTTTTTACCTTGGTTATGGGTTGTAAATGTAATCTACATGTGGCCAGTTACCAAGAGAGATGACGTTGGCAGACAGATAAAAAAATGTAAGTTATTTCAAACACTAAGTGATATTGTTGTACGTCCTGGGCAGAAAGAACTTATTGTTGGAATATATCCACAACCTTGTTCCTTGATCACAGATCTCTATCTCTCTGCTGCAGGTGCAGTAATGTGGTTTATAATACTGGCAGTATGGATGGGCATATTTGTGGGGTTTCGAATTACATGGGGCGTAACTGCTGATCGGTTGACTGTCGTAATACCGAAAGGAATATAGCAATTCACGTCTTCCTCAACAGCATCATTATAATATGTAAAAAGCATTCAATCATCTTGAACTTCTGCTAATCAGCCCATGTTATAATTAGTATATTATCAAATTCTATTCGTAGTTAACACACCATTTATACATTAGAGAAGAGGTTCGTCACTATTAGAGATACGATTAAGATGTAAATAGACGTCGGTTCCAAATCTAATTAATATAAAAGGAAACATTGCAAATCGTGTATGGGACATTGAACAGACAAAGGGAGTCAGGATGGGCAAACGGAGAGTCGAATGGTAAACAAGAGAGTAATTAATAATTCACATTACAAAATTATATAAACAATAATATTCTTCATGGAAAACTTACCCCTCCATTGATATCAATTTTAGATCGCCGCCAAAATATTTAGCATACTAAGAATAAACGGGAACAAAAAGTTAGCAGAGATTGGAGACACTAGTAGCCAAATATTGTACTTACCAATCTACTAATTGGTAAACCATATCCGAACCCAGCCATTGGTGCGTTAAACTCTTTTTGATTGAAGCTAGGGTCAAGATTCTGTCTCTTAGCCGTAGTATACATATACGTCCATACCAACGGTGTTTCGCTTCTCGGTATCCCACCACCTTCGTCGGATATCTTGATCGTGATATCCTTTGAATTAATTCGGTTAATCGATAAACAGTCGATACTTCACGATTACACGAAACTTGCTTTTCCTTCAACGCCTTACCTCTTTACCCTCGGCAACGATCACTTTTATTCGTGGATAGTCATCAGCATCATCGCCAAGTAATTCCACAACAGCTCTGAGACTGTTTTTCAGCAGTTCAAATAACATATGACTCAAATGGCTGGGTACATACGTGAAATTTAAATCCCTAGGACAAAATAATTGAACTGCAGGAGTTCTAATTATTCCATAATAAGCTTCACAAATATACTTAGCATTTTCAGCTGCTTCTTGTACTGTTTCCTTAATATTTGTTGTTGTACATATGATTCCAACATAATCACCTCTTGCGGACGAACGGTTTAATGCAACATGTTGTCCTAAAAATCAGCTGGTGGTTTTAGTCAAGCTTTTATTGGTCAAACAGATTTGTGGAGGAAAAACTCAACTACTGAAAGAATTAAATAATCGCAATGCAGGCATCAAGAAAAATTGATTACTAACCGATCAGCATCCGGATGCCGATACGTGACATATAGAACCGATCAAGAAACTTTTGTGCATCAAGATCAATGATATCAGAGTTCTTAAACCTTTTGTGTTCAAGTATTCCTTGGGCTTAGTAGAAAAGAAACGTTTGAGTATGCATAGATAGCGGTGCGATGATACATATCCTGCATGCTGTCTTACCCTGTAAACAGTGTATCGTCAGTTATCCGGGAATATAGAGCTCGAGTAGGAAATCATAAATCTACTTTACCATAGTAGTAACAACAGGATCATGTCGCTGTTTAATATTCTCAATTAACTTCGTGAATTTTTCATTGTAAGTATATATTTCAGGGGGCCAATCGAACCCATCAAGGTTCGCGTAATATCTGACAATGAACAAGATATATGTATAAACATAAGTAATAATAAAAAAAATAAAGTATAATAACGTACGCACATGTACGCACACCTCTCTACTCTTCCTCCTCTCCTGCATCACACTCTTTTTCATTCTCATACCTGTGACCAAGAGGAATTAATGGATGCAACGAGCCAGTGGCAGCTGGATTAACATGGAGGTTGGGCACACTGTCCGGCAATTTATTTTGCTCAGTAACAGCAGCAGTCAATCTCTCCTTGATCTTTACTGGAAGTTCGAGCTTTGGAAAGTTGATGAGATCCTGTTGAATTGGCGATAGGAACATGATGGTTCATACTCTGTAATAATGAATTTACGATAATTCATAAAGCACAACGTAAGAATTACCTCAAAGGATTGGGCGTACCAATTCTTGACTTTGATGATTGATGGCATTTTACTCAAGGAGTGTGGTAATTCTTCTAATTCCTTTACTCTATGTGCTAGACGTATTGGAAGTTCGTCTATACAATGACAATCGTTCACACCTTCATTGTCTGGGACATGAACACCGTAACCATTGAATATAACATTAGCACATCCTACCTGCCAAGAATTGGCTTGCCCTGAATAGTGTTCCCTGAGAAGGATTCTGACCTATGTCAAGTTAGTATGCCATGCTATTCACGCTCACCACTACTCATACTGCGTGTGCACTAAACTTCTATTACGTTCATACTACATTCGTGCCTGATTTATAAGAAGTTTATTCTACAGTCATCTTACAGACCAATTCATGCTAAGATGCTCTGCATAACTTACCAAATTGAACCATTTGCCGTAAAGAGACACCAGTCTGAGGGAATTTGGAATAGTGTTTGATTTTTTCATAAACTTGTGGTGTGATTCTGTAAGTCATTGTTTAGTCTATTTGATCGGTTTCGTGAACGTTTCTTCTATCTAACATCAAAAAAGAACTTCCGATTGCACAAATAACGGTAAGTGGGATTTGCGATTACAAAGAGTTTCGGGAATGCAAAAGATATAGTAATAATAGAGGTTTTGGTGGGTGTGTGTGACAGTTGAAAATACGCAACAGTGAATAGTATACTAAACAGTGAATATGTGACGTCATTACTAGAATTGTAGTACTAGCACTAGAGTCATAACACAAAGGGGTCTCGTGATCAAATAATTCATGGGTTCCTGGTATGCCTGAGTTCAGATACGTGCTTTTTGACACCCACTTCTAACCTTTGATTGTGTCGATAATTAGTGCCATCAAATCGGAAAGAACGGGGCTAAAAAGGAGTAATCATGCTTATAAATTTCGTATCTATTTCAACACTGTTCATTTGACATTTTGTCTATTACTGTCTTGCTCTCGTCTTAAAACTCTCTGAGTTCAGTATTAGGCCAATATCGACAACAACGAAATCCATTTATCCAAAAATCTTGGCAGTGAAACGATAAATACGAGCCGTAGTTAATAGCCGAACATCATCTTTAGTATATGATCTTTAGATCACATCGTTGCTCTCCTTTTATTCTAATAAAGATCATGCACTGTTATTTCGTTTATTCCCTGGTAACGATACTTGCGAAGTGTAAGACGCTTTTCCTGTCATTAGTCATCGGTGAATAGGATTGATACATCAGGATTATTGTTTAATTCAACGTTTAGTGTAGAGAAATAATTTCCCCGACCGATAATATACAGATCGTGGGTATAGTTATCTCTGTCTGGGTATAAGTGTTGTCTACCAAATTTTTACAAGATATTTATTGATGCATTCTCCATCAATTCTATGCATTTGTTTGGATTCTATTAAAAAAATCCGTTCACAAAGATAAAAAGGTCTGTTGAAGCATAATAATGCTTTCAGATAAGATATTTCTAACATCTTGAAGAGGATTTACTGGATAAATCTCGAAAACGGGATTGTTCGAAATCACCTAATACTAAAAAGGGATAAAAGTTGTGATTTTTTAACAAACTTTCAGCTTTTTGGTTGCCAAATGCCTAAGCGATGTCTTCTTAATTAGTTGTGCTTTATCCGTATATAGCATCAACCGCTACGGGCAGGCTCTCGAGCCATGTTGATCTTCCTTCATAACGACTGGATTTCGCTCAGTAAACCAAATCGCTCATGGTTTTTCATCAAACTCATTATATCATCGTACAAATTACCTCGTTCTCTTTTAGCAATTCCCGTCACGCACCTAATACGATCTTGTTGGTCGGCAAATGCTTCATCTAACCACTTCTTAGTACTGCATTCTCAGATAGCAATTGCTGATTGAAATTTTCTAGCTCCTCTAATCCTTTTCGAAAGCATTTAGTTCGCTGGATCAGACAAAACTCCAGAATCGCAAAAAACACCGGTAACTCGTTATCATTATCATTAGAATCTTAGTTAAAAACTCTAAAATCAGCACGATGCCATCTTCGAGTCTCGCGTCCTACTATTCGACAAGAGAACCAGCCAAACAAGGCACGCCTGTTTGTATAATGAGGCGTAATTTTTAAACTGGATTAAGGCGTCGGTATCACATCGGATTTACAAATTCGGAAATTATTATGTCATAGAGTCATGTGATTGAAATACTGTATTAATTTTAGTATCTTAAAAGCTTCCGCGGTTTATCCGTCAAGCCAGATATCATGTTTGCAGGGGAGAGAGTAATTAGCCTGACACAAGAACAGAGGCACCAGGTATGCAGCGTGAGTCTCATCTTTGCTGAATTTCAATTAGAATAACTATACTTTTATTGATATTATAGTTTGGAGAAGATGGGTACGTATATTAATAGGGAGGGCAATTCATTTGAACACTCCGAGAAGCAACAAATTCATTATTTAAACCTAAAATTTGGAGGTATCTTGTGTTACCAAACTTCTTTACCAACGATCAAGCCAACAAGCTAAAAGTTCACGTTGATGACATGCTGGATAACTTCCCACTCGAAGGGCATCCCATGACCAGGTTCTCTATTGGGGTAATTGTTTTGCTTTATTGTTTTGCTTTGACAATATCCGCGAACAAAGCATATACTTATACGGGCATTTGCCGTTCTTAGGACGGCAGACATGTCGGTGATGCTTATTTCTTAGAGTCTGGAGATAAAATCCGCTATTTTTTCGAAGATGATGCATTTGATGAAGATGGAAATTTATTGATAGACAAATCGAGAGCAATCAACAAGATTGGACATGGTATAATGAACAGATGAATGAAAATTGTGAATTCAATGATTATTAAAAGTTTCAATGTTCACATTCTTGTTTTTTCGCTAGCTCTTCATGCCCATGACCCAGTTTTCAATAGATTTTCGATTAACAGGTCTACCCAACAACTTGCCAGGGATCTCGGGTTTGATGATCCAAGAATACTTCAGAGTATGGTCATTTGCAAGGTTTGTCACGATACCTATGTTAATTGATGCACATAAAATTCCGTATTTAAAATACCATTTTGTTATAACATCAGCAACCACACATTGGCGGTGAAGGTACTCTTTTACATCATTGTTGAAGCATTATCAACATACTGAATACGATGGTATATATTAATCTTATAACTCGGGATCTTATGATCAGTTCCGCCACATCAAGATTCTACTTATCTTTACACCAGACCATTGTCGGCCATAGGATTCTGGTTTGCTCTAGAGGACTGCACATTGGAGAATGGTTGTTTGTGGTTCATACCTGGATCACACAGAAGTATGTCTCGATATATCGCAGTATTGAGCTTTTTGAGATGGTGAGGTATTTATTAACGAGTATTCCAATTATGTCACAGCTCATCCGGTGTTGAAACGCTTTGTTCGAGTGACCGGTAATGCAGGTACTACAGTTATGGATATTGGACATGAGGAAGTCTCTATAAATGATGAAGACTTTGTGAAGGTGGAAGTCGAAGCAGGATCCTTAGTCTTGATACACGGATCGGTCGTACACAAGTCTGAAGCTAATAAAAGTGATCGATCGAGATATGTTTACACATTTCATATTATTGAAGGGAACGCGGAATACGATCATTTGAATTGGTAAGGCTATAGAACGTGCTCTCATTAATAAGCACTGAAACGTACTTTGACGAATTGAACCTGTGGTATATTTAGGTTGCAGCCAACGGAGGAATTGCCGTTTACACCGCTCCTGTAAATCTGTATGCAAATAAAATGGTTGAAATCTAAGTAGTATATCAGTTCAGTTATTCAATGATAGTAAAAATCGGATCACTTAAAAGAGTGATGTAAGTATAGTACTGATGTTATTCGTAGTAGTGAAACCAATTCAATATATGCTATTTGATACCTAACATACATTTGCCATTAATGATCACAAGTAAAGTTTCTTTTTCTTAGAAATCAAATGAAGACTCAAGTTGAATGTACGTCTGATAAATACTAAAACGTGTGATTTGAAAGCATGAATATTTATAACGCTCGACTCTTACAAGTCGTTACAATTGAATAAATCATACCAGAAAGGAAAGCTGCTATCGACTTTTCTCAATAATCGCCTGTTCTCCAAAAGACTATGAAGTCTTGTACTCATTTATTATTTAAACTTTTACATAAGAATTTATGATGAATACCAACATAAGGCTTTGCTTTTCACAGGATTAAGATGTCGTTTTGTATAAATGAACACCGTTAATACTATATTCAGCAGGCAAGCTTTTGTAAAGCAAACTCGCAGCAGTGATCTATGTTTATTTTAGCAAGCCTTATATTCAAGAGTCTAGTGTTGCGCATCCAAGCAAACATACTAATACTAAGCTTTTTAGTTATCCAAAGGCTATATAGCGCTTACACGTCGCGCCGACTGTCAACGACTTTCCATACAATCCACTTAACGACGCGTACGTCTTGATTCCACTTCAGTTTCTTTCGTACTGACGTGAAAGAAAAATTAAGAGAAAATAAGCAGTAACAGTGTTCTTTAAAGGAAACGTGTTCTTGATTTGCTAATGAACAGATTGCATTTACGGCGAAGTTTATGTTCAGATTGGTTTGCCAAACTACGGAATGTCTGCCTAGTGAAATACAGCAATATCATTGTAACACTTTTAGATAATGCATTCAATGTCTTGTGCTAAGTAGCAGTGGTAGTCGCTCCTATCTTAGGGATGCGCTAATGCGCCTCGGGAAGTGACCATTCCACCGACTACTGATTAACTGGGATCAAAAGTTTCTATACGCCATCTTGCAACGTACTACAAAGGCGCGCAACTTATTACCAAAGTAAGCAAGAATCTCCGTCGTTAACTTCTTGTCAAACGACTTAAAATCACGGAAATTATTTCGGGTCTTTTACATTAGACTTTAAACAATGCCACAAGCTAATGGAAAGGCTGAGAAACCAAATCACTCAAGCCTGAACGCGATTCCTATTATATTAGACAAGTGCCTACGCAAAATTTCATGGATGGAATAGAGCAGCAGATTATTTTGACCTTATTGTAGTATGGTTGGGCGTTGGGTGAATCGAAGTTGGATAAGTAAAATAAATAAAGACAGCAATGTCAAGTCAACTACCGCGGGAGAGCGTTCAGTAATTGGTCTTGGTTCTAGCTCTTAAATTGCTAATACAATTGGTGACTTTTCTCAAACTAATCGATCGGTTATAATGCAGATTGCTAATTACTTATACTCCGCAGATACTCTTCTACCATAAATCGGCGGGATTAGTTCCGATAGTCCATTAACCCTCAATGAGAGATTACACTACCTGGACAAAAGTCTTGCACATCGAAAATTTTTAATTACATAAAATTGCACATAATAATTACATTTCAAATTTTAACAGTTTATACTTTAACCAATGAAGT